GCCTGGCCATTACTAATCCATTCATTGCTCACAACATACAAGCGGTTGCATTTCGATAACGCTAAAAAGTTTTATCACTGTTCCTTTATGCGATCTTGTGATAATTGTGTGACTAGTACTTTCTCCTTAGTACTTCAAAAAGCTCGCTATCGACTTTACACATATATTTATGTATGTACGTCTAATAATAAGTGCATTCATTTTTATTTTTTTTTTTTTTCTAGTTTATGCAAGTTTTTCCCTCGATTATACTTTCTAACGTGACTCTCCTCGTCTCGATACTTGCTCCTTTGCCTTATAATCCACAATAACAACATCTCGTACGATGATCTTCCTTTCTCACCGAAGGATATTCGCGTAAAAGCGTTGCCTGCGTACAATCTCCTTTACACGAATTTATAATCGTTACGTTTAGTTAATAATATTTCATTGCGGTTATATTTGGAACAAACAACGTTAATCAATTTTTACTAGAAAGAACTAATAGTGATAATACCTTGTCACCCAGTGTGATTGCAACGATCTGCGTGATTGTTAGAGTGTAGAATGTAGAAGAATCTTTCCTCGAGGCAGTGAAATAAATATCGTCAACGATGCAAAGTTACACCTTCTTCTGCTTTGTTTTTTTTTTTCGCATTTTTATCGAACTGTACGTGTTTTAAACTAAACGAACGTTACTACAATCGGACCGATGAATAACCTGAGTAGCGTTTCTTGCTACCTCTCGTTCATAGGACGTGTGTCAAGTGTCGTTGAATTCGACAACGATCATGGAATAAACAACCTTGCGTATTAGATAAATTAAAACACCTTCGTTCCATACACGTGACAAGCGCTTACTCTCGTTTGCATTCTGTGCGAATCAAAATGAATTGCTATCTCCGTTAGATTATTCGGATACTCCTCGGTAATCGACAGCACCGAAGAAAATATCCAAATGAATCGATTCGAAAGAAATCAATTTTTGTGAAGGAAAAAAAGGATTTTTCGAACGTCGAGCAATCAGCAAATCATGGTTTCGAAACAACGATTAAGCGCTTCTCGTCGAACTTTCACAAGTCGATGTATGGCACGAAGGTTGGCCTGTCTCAGGACGGCTGAAGTCGAGTACTTTTTTTGCTGCTACCGAATGTGAACCAAGTGCCAACTTTACGTCCTAACGAGTTTGTCGTGCCTTGCCCGAACATTGTTGGCATTTCGTAAGCCGATTCTCTTTTGTACGTTTTGTCTGTAATTATTCAATTCAGGCAATTGTAATCATTTTTCGAATTGTAAGACTTTTGTTTATTTTTTTTTTTTTTTTTTTTTTTTCAAAGTCACAGACAATAATTGGTTTCTTTTATTTTCTTACGTACTGCGAGGTTTGATCGGCGGCCTATTTTGCTGCCTGGTCGCCGCGATCCTGGCCAATTGCCTGGCCGCAGCGGGGAATTCCAATCCGTCGTTTCTGTCTTGAGCAACCAGCCTTCGTTCCTCCGCCATGGCTGCCAACCATCGGCGTTTCTCTTCTGCTGTGCGACAGCAGAAGAGCAACCATTTATCCCGAACACAGCTATAAACTTTTAAACCGTGTCGCACTGTTACTCCAAGTTGGTGATCTACGAACAACAAGCATCGATCATTTAACAGTCGAACGACAAATCTATCGTGTATAAACTTTCGCATGAATTATTACCTTTCCCATCGGGAACATCGATCACCTCGCTTGTGTCGAGATAAATTCTCCCCTTGTATACATAAGTATTTCGTTTTAAAATGTCCTTTTTACAATACACTAACTGATGATCGAAGAGGAAAAGGGTGATGTTGTTTGTCCACATGCCAGTAGTAACTCTCACAGCTTCACCTTGATAAATTAATTGGGACGAAACTTCTATGAGATCTTCACCCTGTTACATCAATCGGAAGTGTTAAAGAGTATCGAATAAAAATTTTTCGTCGATTTTGAAATTGAAATCCCATACCTCCCATCCTTCAACCCTTAACTGCCACGCAGCCAACTTTTCAAGGCTTTCCATTCGCCTCTTCCTTTCATTAATCAAGACAGCGACACCTTGCATCGCTTCGAGGGCTTCCTGAATCTTATGATAATCCGGATGATCGGCTTTCGTGTATTTCAACAGCTCCGCCAATTGGAGCGGGTACTTGCATATCCGTTGCACGGGCGTTAACAGGTATCCATCCAAAGGAATTTCTATCAGTCCTCTCATTAACCTACACGCTTCGAAGAATTTACTATAACGATTATGTTGATACAATTCCTGCAACGTGGCGATAGCCATCGGATGACTGTTGCAGTACTCCGAATACATACGAAATCCTGCCCTCTGAAACAATCCGAAACCACACGTCACGACCAATTTTCATCGTCGGAACAACGGGAGTACCGATCCTAATTACGCCAAACGATCTTACATGATTTATGAAACATTCACCGACGCAACTCTTGTGCGGAGAATTCCAGTCGATCCTCAGCTCCAGATCTTCCAGAAACTCGGATTGAAAGTCAAGCAGCTCTTCGAGATTGATAAATATCGTCTCTATCTGTTCCTCGTTGAACATATCCGTGCGACGTCGACATTCAGCTATGTATCCTTCAGCGACGTCTCTCAGTATCTTAACGAAATCTCGTTCAGTTTGAACTAACTCGCGAACCACGCTGGTTCGTACCTGCTCGTTCGACAACAACGAAACACTGGTGCGTCTTCTTAGTTGCGTGCTCGACGTGCCTCCAGAGGCCATCGCCGCCAAACAATCCTCGACGGTGTCTTCTTGGCTCACGCGTAACTGAGGATAGAACAAGCAAACAGTTTCTACATTTAAACATTATTCGTTCTTGACGAAAGGACGATTCTCGCGAGAAACCGATGTGTCATACCCTAACAAATGCAGCCGGGAACCAACCATGCTCTCCTCTACAACTTCCCCACCACCAGTCTTTATCCAGATTGTCCAAAACTTCGATCACATCGCCAGCACGGAAAGCTAGCTCTTCAGGTTCCATCGCCACGTGGTCCCAAACAGCCTCAGCCAGGATTACGACCTCCTCGTCCATCGTCTGCTCGAAGGATTTCTTTCGGTCCGTCAAGGAGGCAACGGAGGATTCGGAGTCGGACATCATCTCATCGTCGGACGTTCCACCTCTTCCGTCCTGTTCATCCTCGGACAGGACGTTACCACCGGGCAACCTCGCGCCTAATTTCAAACGAAACAATTCTCATCTTTATCCAAAGAACCAACTCGTCGTTCTTTCTTCGTTAATTTTTCTGTCCGGTACATTTTGCTCTTTTCTAATGTACGAGAAAACAATCGTATGCGAAAAATCACCCTGTAGATTATCCATCGTAGGTTTACTCGGTGTCGGCAGCGAAAGATTAAAAAATCGTTTATCACGTTTCATGGGTGGAGTGAACTAGTTTTCTCGCAGAGCTTCGCGGAACATAGTTTGCGACTAAAAGTTTCTTATTTTTCAACGGTTAGAGGCGGAGAAATTCTGTTACTTCTGGTCGCTGAAATGTTTCGCGAAGCTCCCTAATAGAGAGGGGTTGTTAGTTGGCCTTTTTCTACAGCACCTTGCAAAACAAAAGCGTATTCACAGGAAGCTGTTCATAGTGAACGAAGAGATATATCAACACGTTTAATACAGGAGTGTTCTTGCATTCCTTACTGTTTAAGAGAACTCTTCTTACAGGTGCGTTCTGTTACAACGGTGAATGCTTTGAGACTTTTTTTTACAAGAGGGTGCATGCTAACTTAGAGCACTGTCGGAAGTGGTGGTCTAGAGAGAAACTGGATACCGCTGGAGTAGAGAAAGTGTGCACTAATCTTCGTCAACGGGTTTGCTACCGGTGTGTACATTCGTACCAAGCGAACAAGCAATGTGCAGGAAAAAAAAAAAGAGCAGAACATTATCACGCAAATTCCTTCGAAAGGTGTGAAAACGACACACAGTCGTCATTTCTGTGCGATAAGTTAACGTGGATTGACAAAGATGGAAAGAAGTAAAATTCGATTACTCGTTTGCTTGGAAAGAACGTAACGGTGGTGGGGAAAAATGTGTTCTACGTTAGAAAACTCAAACAGTTATGAACAAGTGAAATCTCCATTTGGAAAATTCACGATTTTGTTAGCTTTACCTGCAGTTTTGGTGCGCATCAAGGGTGACAGCTGATTGATACCCAGTGGCTGACTAAGTGAACGCCTCAAATTTGTCCGAGAACTCCTCCCTTTCGCGTTACTGGGACCAGAATGAAAATCTCCATTAATCTCTCCCTCCGTCTGTACACGGTCTCGGTTAAAGGATCAACAAGCTTGTGTTTACGTAGAAGCATCGATACAACATTCAGCAACGAATTACAATAGGTAAATATATATTTATATATATATACACACGACAAGGTATACACGTTTATACAGAGTGGTTCTGTAAATTGCCCTGCCTTTAAAAAAGATTCCTCGTTTCTCCCGTTCGGAACGTTCTCACCGATTCGCGATCTCTCGTATCTTTCTTCCGCGCTGTGCTACACAGGGCTGTTTCGAATAAACTTCAAACGGATCCTCCTAGACTATTGTAATTTAACCTTTGTTTTTCTCAAATATCATTGCAGCTGACGATCGCGTCGAATGAGCATTTTTTAAAAACATTTTCAGCGATAACTCAAAGCTAAAGATCACGTTCAACAGATCGTTTAGGGAAAAAATTTGTTCCTTCAGATCGTCGGAGAAGCGGGAGAAAACTGAACGGAGAACTGAAACGTCAAAATACAAAAGAACCACTCAGTACATAGTTACGCGTGACAGACCAACTGTTTTTACGAGGAAAAATTAAAAGAAGGTGGTTTGTTATAATACCCGTCTACCTACCACTATTCTCCCTCGATTTACTGGAAAGGTTCGAGAATAAAGAATTTCAATTTCGTCAAGGACAATCTTTCAAGGAGTTGTTTTATCTTATTTTATTTATTTAGTCATTTTTTTTTTTTTTTGATGATATCGTAATGTCGTGCTATGATTCGTCTCGAGTTGAACGAAGATTGAAAGAAGAAAAGGTAGTATGTAAGAATGAAAAAAAAAAAAAAATAGGAGAAAAAAAAGCGTTCCGGACAACGCCCGTTTTTTCGACAAATCGACTCACTCCTCTGCGACAAAAGGAAGCACCTAAAGAGATATCTTTCCGGCATCGTTTGTATCATACGTTCCCCGAAATACACATCGCAGCAACAACGTCGCTATTTCCATAGACTAACGGAAACGATGCGCTCGATTAGATCCGTGGAAACCCAAGCAATCGCCGTTGCAACATTTGCTAATCAAATTCGGCAAAATCTAAACAACGGTACTCCCGATCGATCTCCTCTAAAATCAACACTCGCGAAGTTGTCGACAGTTCCACGCTGAAATAATAGGAAGATCAGCGGATGGATCGCGAATTCACGTCGACGATTGCTCCAAGTTTCGCAGCTTTTCTTTTCTCTTTCTCGACATCTCGCTCGCCGATGGCAAAGAGGTCAATGAGGCGTTTGCGATAAGGGTGGCGAGTAAAGCAGAGGACGGATCACGATCGTTAAACGCACCTTCTCAGCGTAACGATGTCATGGGAGGAGTGCCTCGGACTGAGCCTAGGAGGCCTCGTCTTGATCGGCGATGGCGTCGAGAGCATCCTTCGGTAATTGTGCGCGTGGCTGTACCCGGACCTCGTATCCCACTGTAGTAACCTCTGACCTCCTAAATCGCTGTTCGTTCTGCGTACATGTTGGTGCCTCGACGTACGGCTCTGCAGATCCGCCTGTAAATGTATCACACGTCCACTCGTTAAACACCGACGTCCACACACATCGACACACAGAGAGAGTGAAAAATTTCTGTATTCGTGGCGTGAAGATTGTGATTCTTCTTGGGCGTGTGTCACGCTAAGCCAGTCTTCCAGAAAACCGCTCGGTATTCCCCCTTTTTACATTTACTTAGTCTCTTCAGGGATAGAGCTTTGTTAATGCACAAACACCGATGGAGGTTGTAGCTGTGTTATGATCGTGATGGTTTCTATTATGTACACGCGGCAGAGAGATTTAGGTGGATGGATCTAGAGAGAAGATTTACCATATTGCTTCAGGTACTTGGTTTCACATATTTTTTTTTTTTCAGTTAGACGATACCCGAAGGTGACGAAACGATCGCGTTGGACGAAAAGATAGAGACGAGAAGACGTGAACACTGTCTGTATAGTGGGACTTTTGTCCACGATTCCATAAATCGTGTTCGCTCGGCCGCGCGGCTCGATATCAACTAACCAGGAGTGCGCTTCCTCTCCTCGTATCCTGGCTAACGCGATATATTCTCCGACCGCGTATCAGGGACTGCCGGTGATCTGTACGAGCGTGGCTAAACCGTGCACAAACGTGAGTAATGGGAGTTATTGTACCAAAGGAAACAGTCATACGTGCGGTCACGATAATGATTACAAATGCGCGACGATCTCAATAGCAATTATAAATCATCGACGTCGAGAGAGAGAGGGAGGGAGGGAGAGAGAAAGTGGAGGAGAAGGGAATTATTATTGTATTATACACATATATTGATGAAAATTGCGTAGAAATGAAATAAAAGCGGTGAAAACATCCATAACAAACGGATTTGCCTCTTAAAAGTCCATCGAAAGCGGAAGCATTCTTCTCTGACAGTTCCACCTTGCTCAGTTGTTAGCCTTCAGGGATTAATTATTCTTGGTTAAAAGTATGGTTGTCGAGGTAAAAGTGTTTCGTACAAAAGCTACGCATCCTTTGGTCGATTAATCAAATTTTCTTTTTCGCGTGTACCAAACACTTCTTCCTTCGTGGCGCTCCCATTTACTCAGCAACGTTAAGCACAAAGATACAGCGAGGACGGGAGCAGCCTCACGAACAACAGTCGTTAGCCGGCGGTTGTTAATGATTAACACGAAGATTGCATGTAGCGGGGTAAACGTGTGGAGGGCAAAGAACGATAGTCTTTACCTTAAACTTGTCGATCAGTATCTGGTTGATGAGCTCGGACTGGGGTCGTGATTTGTCGGCGACTCGCCTACGAACGGCCGGCGGGCTGTCCGTCTCGTCTTGGACATCCGTGTCGTGGGACTCGGAGCTATCACCACCCCCCATCGTTCCACCACCACTGCCCCCAGTCAATGCTCCACCAGATACCATCTATATCGTTCACAATTTACACTTCGTTACTCGTCGAAGTCTATCGCTAGGCTGTCTTTTTTATTTTTTTTTTTATTTTTTGTCCTTGATAGGAGAGGTGGTCTCTCCATCGACTGGCTTGTGACGTTTCGCAGGAAATTAACATTGTGGAGTAACCGGGGAAAATGTAGAGATTCGTAGATGACGTATCTCGGTGGAATATAAAAGTCCCGTGGTAGATAGGAAGTTCGAGGAAATTTTACGTATGCTCTAGTGATAGAGATTTTTTTTCCGTCGTGTCTCACCTCGATCTGTATTCCACTGTCCCCGCTGTTACATTTCGCGTTTCTTGCAGCCTTGCTGCCTTTTTTCCTCTCCTTGCTGCTTCTCCATACCAGAGGACCGAATCTGTGGACAATAAATTGGGTGGATATCCATTTTTTAGTTGAAGCAAGAGCCTGTGATTTTTAAAGATGGATATCTCTTTTTTTAATTAAAGAAAGGACTTGTGATTTTCAAACGAAAGAACGAGAATTCGATGGAGAGAGTAAGATAGGGGAAGATGTGGTTGAACTAACCGAAATTTCTGGTCGTTACTGGTGTCTTCCTTGTGTTGGGAAGACTGTTCCGTGACAGTCGGCGGTTCTCTTTCCTCCTCCTCGTCGAGAGGGCCGGATCCATCGTTATCTTCGACCGGACACTCGCTCTCGTTGCTCTCCTTGCTGCCTTTCTTGTGGAACCTCAAGGAGAAGCTCTTTCTGAATTTCTGCAGAACGCTCTCTTGCTGGCTCTGAACGTTCGATCGGGGAGGATTCTGTGCCCCGGAAGCGGTCACGATATTGCCACTCAAGTTCGAGGGTTGCTCTTGAAGACGCGAGTGAGAGACCAAGGGAATTGTCGCCTCCGCCAGAGGATGCTCCGTTGTTACGTGACCTGTTGTGCCCTCGTCCTCCTCGTCTCCAGACCACTGTCGACTGCTCCAACAATATAGTCCAACGTTATTGCCGATACTCTGCTTTCTCTCCGCCGTACTTTTACAGCCAATTTGATTTTTTAACCCTTTGCTCTGCACTGGTGATGTTCGTAATATGCACCATAAATCCATTCAAGCTTTGTTTATACCAAGATGAAGCAGATTGGCAAAAGAAACGAAAGTAAGTAAGTTGTTTTCAAAACTGTGTTAAAATCGCTCAGCGATCGTATCAAAAAATGCTCAGAGTGCAAAGGGTTAATAAACCGAAAAATTCTATTTATTTTCTAATCGCAGCAAGTCTTTTCTAATCAAAGGAATCAAGATAATAATTAAGGAGTCGTCTATTCGTCTCTATAACTAGAAGAACAATACAGGAGTTAAAACGAAGGTTCACCTACAACTGCTACTACGCCTAACCTATTTATAATTACAACCAATTGATCAGATGTGAGATGTGAAATACACAACCAGCGATAAATCCACAAACACAAAAATAATACGCAAAACACATCAGACTAACGTTGCAATCTCTCTATATCCATAAAAAGGGAACTAATCCCTACGCAAACTCACTACAGTACCGCACGATACTCTCATCTACTTAGCATAATTGCACAAACATCTGCACTCTAATTACGGCTTTTATCATCGGAATTGTCAATTCAAGAGGAATCTCATTTCCACTGAAAGAGGAAAAAAAGAAGAAGAAAAATGATTAATTCAAACGATCGATCATCTCTTAAGATCCCTTTCTTTCTCGTATCGAAACGAATACACTCTCTTCACTCGAGAATTCCTAATGCACCGCGGTTTAACGCGCACGCGAGACCGACCATCGATCCGATTATCCGTTTAATCAATGGCCCATTGTGATCTCGAGTGGAAAATAATTTACAGTCGGCAGGAAACTCGACGGCTGTTCCTTCCTGCGCCGTAAAATTGATAGATCACGAAGGTGCACGCGGCAATTTCTGCAGCCGGCACGGTGTCCGGCGGGCCACACCAGCTAATTTTTCCATACGTTACTCCTCGCGGAACGGAAACTTGCGGCTTCCGAATATGTCGAAATTCTCGCGAAATTGCAACTGTCTTTTCTCTCTCTTTCTCCACGTTCACGATTTCTCGAAGCAGACACGCGTATCGTGTTCGTGGAAACGTTTCTTTAAAAGAACAACCGTCAGTTGCTTGTTATTACCTTGTACAAAAATGTGGAAAAAATTCTGCAAGCGATAACGAATGGATTTTTATAGAAAATACAGCCTGAGTGTGTAATTCCCTCTTTTTTGTTTTATTCACAGAGTAGAAGAGAGAACGCGGATAAACTTTTGAACAGAACTGTACCGCTTCAAGAGTGGTCTATGTGTTATTATTGGAGAGTTATTGCTTCAAATCGCTGTATAATCGAGCTCGGGTCTCTTAGTTTGTTTTTACAGAGACCGCGGCGATCTATCCGCCGAGAGATATATGGTTCCTGTTCGAAATGAGATTCGTTCGATTTGAATTATCACTGGAAAAATAATCTTTCTCCATTTTTTTTTTCTTTCTCTAACAGCGAACGAGATAACTAGACGCGTATTCGTGTTGTTCGGTGATTTTTCGCAGTCGTGCATGATAATTACAAGGCGGCAAAAATGCTGGATTACTTTTTGCAAATTGAAAACGTGAATACGGTAAATCAACGTCACCGAGAGGCGCAACTCGTTAGGGTGTTTCATTTTTTCGGCATAGTTCGCTCACGGGTTTTTTTCTGTGTCGGGCTAATGGTGAAACATGGTGCAACGTCACGTACCACATCATCGAGACGATTTTGATCGATTTTTTCCTCTTCCAGATTAATGCTTATCCGGCGTGTTTCATTACTTCTTGCCTGACTAACATTTTACTCTCCGTCCACCTCTCTCTCTCTCCCTCTCGTCCTGTCCACCGTTCTTCTCCTTCCTCTGTCTTCTCTTTTCCCACCGCTGTCTGCTGTCTGCTACGTGAAACTTCACGCGTGGAACACGCGAGCACTTTTCACTCTGTTCAAAAACATCGCGAAATGTCCGGGGCGCAAAAATGAACGTCGGAACTGATAATTATTTCAGTCAAGATTTCATCTCGCGCAGAGAAAACTCGTTCCTCGAGTTAACGCCAAACCAGAGTGAGAGAAAAACAGAAAACGAGGCTCTTTTGTTCACCGTTCTCTATTTATACCATCGGAAAGTTCGTGTAATAAAATCTCTTCGAGAGTGAAAGAGAGAGAAACAGAAGAGAGGGAGATTATTCGAAGCACGAAGAACCACTTGCAACCACTTTTAGACAGGAAATGCGTCGAGTGACGGTCTACAGGCGACTGAAACCTTTGGCTAGCACACCAAAACCACTCTCGACATGTGTGTACACACAAAGCATGTACCGTGTGTGCGCTTGACGTGCTGGTAGAGGCCTGTAGAATTCGTGACATTAAGATATTCCACGGGAACCTTCCTTCCTGCACACGAGAGAAATTTTCAACATCCACGACAAAAGTCTGTGCTGCCCTGTTGCTCGAACCGGGAAACCGTCACTTGTTGATCGGCCGCGATATAATCACGTGCACGCACGTTCGCCTTTGTAATCCCTTTCGTTCCTCCGCGGCGAACACCAGTTGTACACGTCACAGAAGAACCTTCCGAAAGAAGCTCCACGAAGACAAAAAAGGTACAATTGTTGAACACACTTCACTTGCAACGAAACGGGGCAGAAATCGAATCAACTGGATCGAGGGTTAGAAACGACACGAGAGAGAGTTGAAATTTCCCTCCGCGCGGTAAAAGAGCGTCTATTTACTCTGGCACAGTGGCAATTGGAAGGCGAACTCGGTGGAATCGCGAAAACACGAGGACGAGGCACTCTCGAGAGGAAGAAAATCGGTCGGAACCCACTCTGGCCCAGAAGGAAGTGCATTGAACGACGAGCCGCGGTCGACTGAAGGCTCCTCGGCAGCCACACAAATCCAGCCTCACGTGTGTTCCACGTGTGTGTGTGTGTGTGCACGAGTGCGTGTGGCGGATTTGTGTGCCAGTGCACCTCGTGAACTCTTCTCAGAACAGATTTCAAGGGTCGCTTCAGGTATAAACCGACACGCCGAGGGTTGCTCGTTCCTCCCTCCACCTCTCTCTATGTCTTGCCTCTTTTTTTCTATTCGAGTCCTCTTCTTTCACTTCAGCTTCACCCTTGTTCAATCTGTCCTTCTCTCCTAGCCCGGTGAAATCGTGGGCGGGAGAAGAGGCGGCCCAAGGAGAGGAGCCGTCGGTCTCCACAAAAGGTACCATTTATCCATTGTAGTGACAGTGGCCTGCTGCCTCTTCCTTCATCTCTCACTCACTCTCTCTCTCTCTCTCCCCCCCCTGGTTCTTCTCCTTTTAATCGGCGAAATTTCTCACCCACCCCCTCGTTCACCAAATGGACGTGCGCGCGGCATCCTAGGCCATCGTACAAATTTGACACGCTCTGCACAACCGAAAACGTCCTCTCTCTTTCTCTCCCTCTTTGAGGATTCTCCTAATATCCGTTGCTCCTGTGTCTTCTTTTGTTCTCGACGCGCTACCCCTTTTTCTATTTTCTCTCCTTTTGCAACCACCCCGCGAAATCGCCAGCCACAATCTTCTCCCGTGTGTGTGTTTTTCCGCAGCTTTGGAGGAAACCGTGTCGATCACGTCCCCCTTTTACTTCTTTGTCCGCTTACAATGTTCTCCGGAGGCGTGAGTTTTCTTCTCTATATTTTTTGTCTTCGTTTGATTTTAGACATCGCGGTAGGTCGTGCTGTAATCTATGTTCTTCTCCGAGTATATTCTCTCGGGGGTCTCTTTCCGAGTGTTTCAAATTGGACGACGTTATTTTCGAGTGTAAATAGCGCGAGACTACTGAGCGACGGTAGGAAATGGTTAGGTTAGATGAGAATTTGTAAGAAGTACTCCCATGTGAAACGGACGGTTTTGGGAAATAGCGGTCACGTTCTCTAACGTTATTATTTTTCGTGACGTGCACAGGTCTCTCGGCAAACTCCCATGTCATTTTCCCGATTTATTGCATCTGTGCTGGCAGGGCACGTGGCACGGACAGACTATAACTTTTCTTTTTATCGATCTATGTACAAATCTAGCGCTGTGGGGCGCGTGTAGGCGTTGCAATACTGAACTTTTCTGGGCAATACGTAGGCGTCGGAACGAGCTCGGTGTGGTTTTTCTTTTCCTCTGAAATCGATCGTTAATTTGCCGGATCATCGATCATTTCCAAGTTTTCTCTCCTCGATCCCTTTGATCTCGCCAAGACGATTTAAGCGTATGTAGAGTGGAACGGATCGATCGGTGATATCCACGGAATAACGTATCTTTAAGTGCTTTATTAGAAGGAAAATTATCATGTTGTAACGGTGAATATTTTAGACGACTTTGAAACTTGCGTAGATGAGTAAGCACACTTCGCGAAGTGTATATTTTGTAAAGGAATTTTCGACACGGGTTAGAAATTTCCAAGGAGACTTCGATGTAAAGAGAGAAACTTCGTCGTTCTTTGATAGGAGTGACGGGAAGTAAGAAGTTTTCCACGTCCAAGGTAGTTGAGGGTGAACTTTCTTTTCTCAATGGGTCGCGAGATGAGCCGAGACCACGATAGAGTTGAAGAATATTCAAAGGTGGCGTTCTCTGTTAAAGAGTTCCTCAAAAGACGCCCCGTGGACGTTTCCATTCGTCAAATGTCCGAAAGTTATCCTTCGAAACGAAGGCTTAAATGGTTCTTAAGTCCTGATGAGGGAAACTTCGTGAAGAGAGGGCCTAGAGACGAAGCAAGGGCCGGTTTAAAGTAAATAAAGAGTTTCAAGGAATTTGAATCTTCAAATTTGCCAATTTTCGAATCTATGAATTTTCGAATTTTTCAATCTCTCAATCTGCAAACCTTTGAATCTTCAAATCAGCGAATCTTTGAATTTTCAAACCTTTGAATCTTTGAATATGTGAATGTTTGAATACTCGAATTTTTGAATATTTCAACGTTTCAACGCTCCAAGTTTCGAATTTTCAAATTGCTAAAATTCACGTCGAAGTCCACATTGAAACTTCGCCGGTTCAACTCCCACTTGAAGCGCGATCGCTTGACGAATTGACCCGAAGGCACCGATCATCGATCGCAACGAAGTTTTCCCGAGATTAAGGAACTTTTAATTAAATTCCGCCCCGAGACGATGCTTTTTTCCCTGCCGGATTCACTCCGTATTGTCTCGAGATCTACGATTTAAAACGCGAAACATTATCGAGAGTAAGTTCTCTCCCGGCGTTAAGCAGAGCGCGAGTGGTAGTGAAGCGCCTCCGACCGAGTCAAGGAAGGCGAACTTATCGTTTTCTAAAACTTCAAATTAGAATAATACCACGAGCTACGTCTCATTGTTGGAGCTGGCGAGTTGCGGGAACTTTCCCAGCCGGAGAAAATTAACGTTCCGCTAAATTGTTACCGGCTCGATAAAACTGCCACCCTTTTTCCACAAAGCAACCACCGGAAAAGCTTTTAAACTGAACTAATAACAAGAAAGGAACTTCTCTTACAATTTCTTCTAACCCTCTTTCAAAAACAGCAAACCAGACGTTCCATAAAAGCCTACACGAACACAACATACACCTACACAATTCACAAAAAGAACAATCTTCGAGTGAAAAATATCAAAATTGTACAAAAACGCGTCGACTACGAGAAAATTCTCCGTGAAAATGAATGGTCGCACGTTTACAAAATCAGGAAGCACGTGACGAGGTAACGACATCGACGATTTTCAGGCAATTTCCAGGCAAGGAGCATCAAGTTGCTCGTGAAATATTAACGAGGGTTGTTCTCCGCGGCGAGACAGACCGGAAGCGAATCCACGCTTCCGTGAAACTAAAGAGGATGTCACGAGAGATTTTCTATTCAGCCGGTAATTAGAGCAACGACCGGATGAATGTTCGTCCAGGTACAAAGTCGATGGTAGAGAACCGAGAGCCGGGGTCATTCGAAGTAACGTCTTTATTCTTGCCTCGGCAAACAACCCCGGCCTGGCTTACGAGACGGTGCGCTCCTAAGGGATCAAGAGGTCACCGATGGAAAGCTGGAAAGCAGGAGGAAGCACTTCAAACGAGCCTGGACGCGATCAGACCGGAACCTTTGATCTATGCCACCGGCTCTCTTCGATCAACTGTTTTTTAAAACTATTTTTAACCCTCCGCACACGTTGTCGATAATCTAGCAAAGTGGAAATCGCTGCTCGCCTCGGCCCTCGTGCTTGTTTTTCTTTTTCTTCGGTGTTTTCGTAGTCTACACAGGCAAAGACCCTCCTACTTCTCTTTTGCGATTAACAAAGACGATCTGATTTAGTCATTTTTCTTCGTACCTTCATAACCCTCATCCGTCCCTCAGTTTCGCATCCTAACAGGTCCCTCGGTGTTAATTCGGCGCAATGGTAAAACATCAATTGAGCGAAAAGATAAATAATTAATTTTGTAAATTCTTTTATTAAATATAGAAAATAAACGACAAACGAGGGACGGATGAGGGATAAATAGCTGTCTTTCGGTAGATTAATGCCCGATCTTCTAGTTCCACCTGGATTTTATAGGTTCTCATTGTCCGGTGAATTTATAACACGAGTTGCTCATTTGCTTTTAAGATTTTATAAGAGTAATTCGCGGCGCGTTATGTTACGAGGAAGCTTGTATTACGTTAGGTAACAGGAAGCTGTTGATGCTCTCGTGCAAGTTCGTATTAGAGAGATATAAATTCGTTGTTTATCGCGTTTGCGTTTGTCCCCAGCGTCAGGAAGCTGGACTGCACACTTGTTCACATATTTACCCGTACAATATTTCTTTTTCCCTTTCCCCTTCCCCCCCGTCTGCAAATACAGCTTCCTGAAGCCGGGAAAATCTTCGCGCCGAGCCTACGGCGACGCACGAAACGGACAGGTTTCGTAACTTATCTGTCGTGCCCCAGCTGTGTGTGCGGGATAAGGTGGCAGGGAACGAAGGGGAAGGTACGAAGGTGTCCTGAAGAATTTTTTCAAACACCGACCGTCGTGTTGAAGATCACGCTTGTGTACTTCCTTCGAGGTATTTCGTTACGAATTTTTCTATGTTCTTTTCTATTTTGACTGTGGAACGAGTGGCCGGGTCAAGATTGACCCGTTGGAAATTTTCTAAAAAGGGGGAAGTTTTGGATATTTATACGAATCGTCGTTTGTAATTTTCTGACTCTGTTTTCTGTGTGCTTAGTATACGAGAGATTGAATTGCATAAAAATTCACTTTTGGAAGTTTGCTAGAGATTTATTTCGACCTGATCGATTATTCCAGTGTTAAACCTTGACAATCCACTGATACTGATATTCACAGTACGCATTCCAACTCTGTTCAAATTTTGTGTTAAAACAAAGAAAGAAGAATAAATTAGAATTTTTTCTTTTCAACAGTTTCAGGTGCCAAAGTGTGCTGAAATTACTGCTCGAAGGTTAAAAACATGTTTCCAGCAGAAAGAATTAACAACACGTTTAAAACACCACTCTCTAAAATATATCCATCGTTACTCTATTTATACTCGAGAACAAGACCGGCGGATCTCTACGAACATCCAAGCAGAGAACGTACATCGGGCAAACAAAGAACAAAGAACATCTCGATCGCTCTAGACACACTGCAGCAAATATTCCATCACGAGCGATGAGTAACGATCTGAAAAATAAATGACAGAAAGAAGCAACGTCCCGAGGCGGTGAAACGTTAGCAGCGAGGGAGGAGTGACAAGCAGACGAGGAAATCGAGACGCTTGAAAATCGTTTCAACACATTTCAGGATCGAACGGATTCAAAAGAGTTCGATTCAAAAATAACCAACCACTCACCTTTCCACATCACGGTCCAGAAGTGCCGGCGTGCTCGAAGCTTTGATACGCCTCTGCGCCTTGCTCAGCCCAGGAATTCGTCTTCTCTCCTTTCCAGAGTACACGTTCGATCGTTGATCGTGAAGAGGCTGCAACACGCGCACGCAGAGAAACATAATCGAAATCATTTTACACACTGTTGACGCATAATTGCGCGACGACTTCTCTGTTTTTCCCTCTTTCCCCAGGTTACGATCAAAGAGTTAGATGCAGTATAACCCAGGTGATAACCTCTCGCGCGGGAAAGTTGCTCGGCCGTCGATCTTTTCCCATGATTCGCCACGCACCAATGCTCTCGATCGCTTTCCTATCTAGACAGGCTTATCGACACGTCGCGAGAATAACTTCGAACGTATCTCGTTAGTGAAAATTACGTTTCGTAAGGCTGAATGTTACGCTCACAGAGAGAGACTCTCTGGGTCACTGTGCCTCCATTCACAACCGATTCTAACCTACCTCGTCTTCCTAAGAACGAATAATGCCCAGGCGATTCATAACGGATCGTATTGTGCGAGCTGTTCACCGCTTACGATGAAATAACGACGTTAGACTTCTCTTAACCCCTTAACCTATGATTTCTTTTCTTACTGTGCATCTAAGCGTCGGCCATTTTCTATTTTAGTACCGTGCCGGGTAACAAAAACTGATCTGTCGCAAATTAATTACACTTCGCGATCCTCGCTGTTACAAATTCAAACGAAAGTTACGATTACAACGAACTTTTCTTACCAATGTAACGATTTCTCTCACATCTTCGCCAGAATCTCGCCACGAGTCTGACGCGTTGTCATATGTTAAGGGGTTAAGATGGTGATTCGCGATTCGAAATCGCGTAGAAAGTATACGTGTGTGTATCCTTTCCGAAATCAGGGCGGCCGTTGATGAAAAATGTGCAGGATAGCGATCGATGGACGGTGAACCGGTAGTCGGATGGAATATTAAATAGTGGGCTAGTGAATCGTGTCAAATCAACTATCGACCAAGTGTGCTCCCATTACCTGGCATAACGACCGAAAATCGTGGAAACTCGGGAATGAAAGGGGTGTAAATGGCACGTTGCCACAAAGCTCGATTATATCTCTGCGGTCGACTCCTCTTACGCGGATACGATGTTTTGCTAATTAAGATCGACCTGCCACCGCGACGTTTCGTATTTTCCATTCGAGACCGATTTTACACGTAATACGAACGCGTACGCTCCCTTACTGTTACCAACGTGTTATCTAATTATTGCTGCACGATACACCGGACGGAAAATATCGCAATTATCGAGGTTTTTGCAAACGGTGTATATATACACTACCGGCCAAATGTTTGGAATCACTGTGCATTGCAAGTTGCACAAAAATTCCCCAAATATCGCAATTATCGAGGTTTTTGCAAACGGTGTATATATACACTACCGGCCAAATGTTTGGAATCACTGTGCACTGCAAGTTGCAAAAAAATTCCCCCAAAAAGTTAGTATTTATAATAATTTTTCAACCAAGTGTTTATCATTCAAATCAATCGAAATGAGGTAAAGTGTTATTGATCTCCACAGCATCAATTTCAAATCAATAAAGAATTAGTGGCAGATTCAATATTAATATAAATTGGCAGGTGATTCCAAATTTCCAGCCGGTAGTGTACACGTATAAGGTGTAACGATAGGGTATAAATTCCGTAGATTAATTCCAGTGTACACGTATAAGGTGTAACGATAGGGTATAAATTCCGTAGATTAATTCTAGATTGCCAGTGGAGTTAAGTACGCGAAACGTGATCTATATTACTTTAATATTTCGCAAATTATCGAGTGGCCTGTATTTATGGTCTCGTGTAGGTTAACCTTTCGGTTTTTACTTTTCTATTTCGATAAAAATGGAGAGAGAGAGGAATTTAACGTAAGCAGTGGACGTGGCGTATTTTATGGAATCGAAGGAACAGTGCAACGTTCTCAATTAGAAACCAAAGAACGTATTCAGAGCTGAATATCTGGAAATACCGCAAATATCCAAGAATATTAAAACTAAATCGATCAATTTTTATCACTTCGATATTTTGCAAACTGTGAACTGTCCGTATTTATGTATTTACAGATTTTTCTTATCTCGATATTTTGCAAATTATGGAGAAAAATAGGAGCCGTATCTTTAATTAAAGGATTAATCGAAATAAATAAGACAAAATAAATCTGCCATCAGGAATATGCCATAGGAATAAGCCTATTATCAGCATTGTTACGTTTCACCAAACATTTCGTCGATAATTTCACAGTTTACAACCGGAGACAAAAGAGCAGCTAAATATTTCCCCGTTCTCCATTTACCAAGCCGGTTTTTATGAAAATCGGTTTACAGTGCTTGACGCGGTTCCCACGTCAAGCATAATGGAGTCCGCAAAATGAAATACCCCGGTTGAATTGTTCCACTCGATGGAATTACCGGTGTTCTGGGTCGAACACTTCGGGGTAACAGAACAGAATCGATCGCCTCGCCCGCCCAGCCCGGTGTGTATCCACCTTCCGGTTTTCCAAACGAGCCCCCGGACCGCATTTCTGTTCGCTGCGCTCTCCGCGGCGGTTTCTAAAGGGAGGTCGAGAAGTCACTTGACTCGTCGAGGACGAGCATTGTCCGCGTCACCGGTCTGCACAACGAAAGAATTCACAGCGGCACCGAAATACATCTCGATCCCATTGTCTGCGTGGCTCTCTTAATTACGAATCACCGCTGCGCTTCTCGCGCGTCTCTACTTCACATTTTTATTCGCCTTTTCTGTCCCCTACTCTTCGTCAACGTCGAACGCATTTTTTTCTTCTATCTCTACTTTTTCGTTCGTTTTTGAAAAAAAAAAAAAAAAGGACGAATCGACCTTTATTCTCTTCTCTGTCGTCTGTCGGACAATTTTTGCCAACTGTTAACTTGTTAACGACCTTGCGCAATTTCATTCGACGAATCGTTTAAACTGTATCGAGTATACGGGGTATCTCGTTTCCACTGTTATGGAAAGTAAGAGAAAGTGACTCAGGGAAGTTTATAGGATTTGAGAACGTACACTACCGGCCAAAAGTTTCGAATCACCTCCAAATTTTCGTCAATATTAACCCTTTGCGATCGGTGCCGCCATAGTGGCGGCATTTCAATTTTGTTCTAGAAATCGGTGTCGCCGCTATGGCGGCATGATCTTTGTTTTGTCAAGTATCATACTTTGGAAAATTACAGAAATTAAAACGTTTTATTTTTATGCACTATAACTAGTATGTATTAAACAAAATGTATCAGTTTCAAAATATTCTGTTTTTCAATATCCTTATATATATAATAAATCAACTATGCAAAAATAACTTTAAAAATCTAAATTTGCTCCGACTAGCTGATAGTCCCAACCAGAGAAATGTGCCGATCGCAAAGGGTTAACCCTTTGCGGTCGTATGTCTGCGCTCGGCCACCGAAGCACTTATATCACACCATGGAGAAATTTAAACATAATTTTTGTATAAAATGAAACCACGTGCTATTGTGTTAAACATACGTAAAGTAGAAAAAAGTAAATAAGAAATAGTAAAAATGACGAAGTAAAATAATACAAATGATAATCTTGCATTACATTATCAGTGTTCGTTGCCTGAGCTAAATACGACCGCAAAGGGTTAAATCTGCTGCTAATTTTTCATAGATTTGAAGTTTATCTCAATTCTACTTTTATCGATTTATCTCGTATCAATTGATTTGAATGACAAAAAATTCTCAAAGTCGCTGACTCTTTTCTGCAAATTTTTGTGTGAATTGCAATGCTCGGTGATTCCAAACTTTTGGCCGGTAGTGTATATATCCCCCAAGGTCGTTCCAAAATTTGCATATTAACATCTGTTTTCTATAATTCTACGTTGCAGCCAATATAAGGAGGAGTTACTAACCTCGGAATGACTTCGAGCAATGCAAAAATAATGAACAGTGAGAGAAACAGGCATATCGATGACCTCAAGGGATTCTTTTTTATCATACACCCCTTTAGTCGTGTTTTCTTATTTGCAACAGTTGTGAAAGCAATTTAGGTTAGGTTACACAATTTGAGGACGCATAAAAAATAATTTCCTCAAAGTCATCTTCAAGTTATTCCAAAATTCGCATATTAACATCAACTTTTCATAATTCTATGTCGTTGCCAAGATAACGACGAGTTCGTAACCTCGAAATGATTTAGAAGAACGTAAAAATAACGAACAGCGGGAGAAATAAGCGTATAGATGACCTTGGAACGACTTTCAACACGACCTTGAGCAATTTTTCTTCGTCGTGAACCCCTTTAGTCACTTTTCCCCTCATTTTCAGTAGCCGTGAACGCAATTTAGGTGTTCATTACAAGTGGAACATGTAGCGCATGCACATAGCACGTTGACGAGCAGTTTTTTCTAAGTTTAATATATTCGAGGATGGCAATGAAGTAAGGCGAATATGAAACACACAAGGGGAGTCCCACTTTTGAAAATTGCGGGCAGCAGAAAAGTCGGTTAATTGGATTGCTAGATGAACACCAGGATCGAGCAATCCAGGTCGTCGTTGAGGCAGTCGTTTCTAAGTCCAATATTCGGAAAAGCTGTCGTCCGCGATAAAAAAAAGAAAGAAGTTCAAAAGGCTGAGAGACGCCCACTAAAAATTCTATGTGTAACACAGTGCGTGTAACGAGTATTTCGATCCATGTTTTTTCACTCGTTCTTACGAAACGATTGAAAAATTGCAACGAATTTCTCAATTAACACGTTCGTCGCCACGTCACCCATATCTGGGTGACGGGTATGCTTCCGTGGGGGCCCCGTCACCCAGATATGGGTGACGTTCTTCTTCGTCAAGTTAAGTAGGATTTTACAATTTATAAAAATCCCATTTGTAACACAAGAATTTAATGGAATATCACACTATACTATACTATACATTAATTTACATTTAAAATAAAATACAACATTATACTACGTAGCATGGTATTCGTTAAAACAGTTGGAACACATTTCTGGTGATTATCGACAATTGGGACAATATGTTGTAGTCTTTTTTACATATTTTCTCGCTTCCTGGCGTTCGAGAATTTGTCTCTTCTTCTGGTAACAGAA